GGGGCAAAAGAGTTCGAATCTACTCGGATAGCCAAGCGGCTATAAAATCCCTATCTGCCGTGAAAACGAACTCACGACTAGTGGCAGAATGCAAGAAGGCCCTTAATAGACTTGCCGACAAAAATAAGGTACAAGTAACTTGGGTACCGGGACACAACGAGATCCCAGGAAATGAGAAGGCAGACGAACTAGCCCGTGCAGGCTCGGCAGGGCTAAGCTCTGACTTCGAATTACCGATCTCCCTAAACGCGATCCAGACAAGGATCCATGACCACTTTAGGCAGATAGCTAATAAAGAATGGCAAGGCAAGAGTGATCACAGAAGGTCAAGGGAATGCTGGCCGAGGTACGACGAAAAACGAACCAGGGAACTGCTATCCAACAGCAAACGGGATATCAGCAGGTTCACGGCACTCACCACGGGACATTGGGCGATCGGTTCGCACGCAATGAAGCTGGGACTGCCACGCAATCTGTAGAAGCTGTAAGCAACCTACAGAGCAAGAGACACCGGAACATCTGCTCTGCTTCTGCCCAGCGCTAAACTATATCAGATTTCGCCACTTCGGTGCCTACCAGTTGGAGTCACTGGGAAACATAGGAAAGCTGAAAGTTTCGGCAATTCTAGGTTTCCTGGCTGACTCTGGATGGTACTGATAGTGTATAACAACAACAAACAGAGGGTGTGGAGCAAAAAGGAGCTTAGCTCTAATTGGAGGCACCAGAAATGGGCCTCACCACTGCAACCTACCTTTAAAGCCAATTTTAAGCGATATGCAAAAACTAAACAATATATTCCAAAGCGAACGGTCGGAGTCTTCAATATTGCTGAATGAATTGATAACCACCATAAATTCTCTTAAGGAAAAAATTATACAACCAGATGTTGAAGTAGACCTTTTCAAGGATGAGGAGGATATCCCGAGTAATGATTTATATTTGGGATATGCGTTTGAAAAAAAAAATTAAAGAGACGCAGTCTCAACAAAATACTCCTGCTATACGTAAGACCTGCACTAATTTTATTAAAAAATTAATATTGCAACTTCGTAACAGGTATGAATAAACTGCTATTGATTTAATGTATGTATATTATATTTTTGATTTTTTATTTTAGATTGCCGGATAATTTTAAAATATTAACAACTCTTAGCGTATTTTTAGTTGGTAGTATGTTACGAGCCCAAAAAAATGTTTTGGATTTTATTAAAATATTTGAATATGTTAATATATTAAATATTGATGAATTAAAATCACAAATAGATCAAATTCATCACATTAAATGGGAAAATATTAATGATAGCGTACAATTTTGGGCAGAGGTATTGGATAATAAGGATGCTGGAGATAATAAACCATTTAAGTCCCTTGCTTTATTTGCAATTCAAATGCTTTCCTTACCTCGGTCTAATGCCGAAGTGGAACGGGCTTTTAGCCAAGTGAACATCATAAAAACCAAATTGCGCAACAAAATGCATTTAAATACTCTAAATGCAATATTAAGCATAAGGTTTGCTATATTTGTTTAATCAAAATTTTTCAATTTTTAAATACATCTTTTTCACTTCTCAAATATGGATTGCGCAGGAATGGGAAATGTTGCCATACTAGCTTATACGGGCGCTCATCACCTGGCAACACTGTTGATGACAGTGGCCTATTGATGACACGCGGTACTGCAGGGTAACCAAAGACAATATATGTATATTGGGGTAGTCAAAAGTATTTACACAAATTCACAATTATTTTCACCGCCAAACTTATTTTTGTTTTTGTTGACCGATTTCCATGAAATTTATTGCATAAATTAATTTATTCAGAAACAACCAGAAAACGAAAACAAAAGATAACGGTTCATAGGACAATATTAATAGCAAAAGAAAATATGTCTATTTATTTTGGACATAGCTTAATAAACTTAATTCCAACCAATTGAAAGCCTTCATCAACACCTTAGCAAATTTTTTTAACTATTAATAAAGTAAATTATGAGATTGTCACAAAAAAATGATTTAATTTTAATGGTATTAAAATTAAGACAAAAACAAATTATGTGTAAATATTACACTGTAGGTGCATCTATTCTTTTACTTATAGCACTTTTTTATGAACCGTTAACTTTCGAATTCCTTTTTGGCTCGCTTCTGCATAGATCAATCTACGCAATAAAGAAAATTTTAGAGAAACGGTCAACAACAACAAGAATAAGAACTAAAAGAAATTTGGTTATGAAAATAGTCGAAGTGTAAATACTTTTGACTACCTTTGTATATGAAATAAAAAAGAAATTTTAACCAAAATTGTATTTATAAGATTATATTATATATTAATATATGTACTATATGTAAATAGCTATGTGTAAATATCTTTATATAAATATATGTACATGTCGATCGTGGTCGCGTTCCATTTTCGGGCGGAGTGAGTTTCGACTTTCCTGGCTGACGATTAGAGGTGGAGAGCTATCGATGGCACTATCGACACTATCGATGGTTTGGCGCTATCGCACCGCCATCGATGGCAGCCCTGCACTATCGATAGTTTTGCACGCGGCTTATCACATCACAAAGAAAAAATAAAGATGAAAGTGGAACGCCAAAATATAGTGAAAAGCTAAAGTATAGCTGAAAGTAAAAATCTCCTAATGCTCTTTTTAAAAAAGAATTAGTTTTGTACTTCTTTTCCGCTCGAATACACAGTTCGACGATGTACTTTTTATACAATCCCTAATCAAAAAAATAAATAAATTAATTAATTTTTTATTTTTAAAGAGCTAAAAATATAATAAAGTTTTGTTCGAATTTCATTTTATAGCTTTTTTTACATCTAAAAATTAAAAAGCATAACACTACCGATAGTACTATCGACACTATCGATGGTTTGAGAAAAATAATCAATGGCGACGACTATCGATAGTTCTCCACCTCTACTGACGATCGCTGAAGACTGCCCGATCGTTCTGCCTAAGAACTGCCTTCGAACCACACACGGCGACAGCGACGCGACGCTGCCGCCTCGCTATAACGATGCCTGTGAAAAAGGGAACTAACAGCGCAGTTGTGTCGCGCCACAACGAACTAAGAGGACCAATCAAAGAAGAGAACCAAGGATGCCAAAGTTCCGCGTAAGACAAACTTTCCAGGAACTAGCATTCTGCATACGCTGGTATACGAATGGTATATCCATTTGCCGATACATATGTAGTAAAATACAAATAAAGAAAAAATGTGTTTTTCTTCAAGGCCTTTAAATATTAAAAATACACCCCAAAATCTAGAAAATAGATTCTTATGTTATTATTTTAGAAAAATTTTCACATATTTAGGGCAAATCGCCTTAAAAACAAGGACATTTTTCCTACATTTAAGAAAAATTGCCTTAGATTTGAGGAAGTTTTTTTTTCCGATTTTAGGGCAAATTTTTCATAAATTTAGGGCGACTCTCCTTTGGATCCACTTTAGGGCGATTTTCTAAGTCTACGGGAGAAAATTGTACTTTTTGGGGCGATTTCGGGTTAAAATTTCTATGAGTGTAGAAGGCTTACTACAAAGTTGCATTTAGATTGCTTTAAAACTGAGAGACTAGTTTTCGTAGAAACGGACAGACGGACATGGCTAGATAGGATCGGCTGTTGATCCTGATCAAGAATATATGTATATACTTTATATGGTCGGAGGTGCCTCCTTTACTGCGTTGCAAGCTTCTGACGGAAATTATATACCCTGCAAGGGTATAAAAAGATCATGTAAATTCATTATTATGTATTTCAATCATTTTATTTAATTGACTAAGAAATAATTTATTATAACACATAAATTATAAAAATAAAATAAAATAAATGTAAATGTAAAAACATGGAAGGGAGAGCTGCTGGTTCTAGAGCCAACACGAATACATCGGAGGATGCTTAAGAGAGAGCGGCTGGCTCTCGGCGCTCTCTCACTGTTTTTTGAACGAAATGTGAGAAGGCCAGAGGCCAGTTCAAAAGCCAGAATGAAAAAATCGTGTGCAAAAAAATCGTATGCCGTTACGGATCATCAACAATGTAATGTAATGTAATGTCATCTTTGGCAAAACCATTACCAATTTTCTTATAAATTCGGAAATCTATGGAAAAAACTTCAAAGGAGGTAATAACAGTATTATTCGTTCAGCAGATCGTAGAGCTATTTATGTATACTCCAAAAGGCAACCAATTCGACTATTTGAAGGGTTATCAAGATAGCTGATCATTAAAAAGAGGCTAAAACTTAAAAAACATGCGAACTTCAGTCTTTAACACCAAAAATGAACGCTGGAAATTGCGTTCTAAAAAGAGAATTCAGAGGAAAAAAGTATATATATATATATATGTACATATATGTATATGTATATGTATATGTATATGTATATGTATATGTATATGTATATGTATATGTATATGTATATGTATATGTATATGTATATGTATATGTATATGTATATGTATATGTATATGTATATGTATATGTATATGTATATGTATATGTATATGTATATGTATATGTATATGTATATGTATATGTATATGTATATGTATATGTATATGTTATGTATATGTATATGTATATGTATATGTATATGTATATGTATATGTATATGTATATGTATATGTATATGTATATGTATATGTATTTTATATGTATATGTATATGTATATGTATATGTATATGTATATGTATATGTATATGTATATGTATATGTATATGTATATGTATATGTATATGTATATGTATGTATATGTATATGTATATGTATATGTATATGTATATGTATATGTATATGTATATGTATATGTATATGTATATGTATATGTATATGTATATGTATATGTATATGTAATATGTATATGTATTATGTATATATATATATTCATATATGTATATGTAAGCTTTATGTTTATTATATATTTAACTTTTAAACTGTTTTTTTTTTTGTCACAATGTTGGATGTTATTGATGACATTACGTTTTTGTACATACCGTGCGATAAGTCCTTTAGCCAGTTCCCAAAAAGGTATTTTGTGAGACTTTGTACCGCCTGCAAAAAATTATTGAAATAATTATGTATACTGATTCGCATTACCCTAAAGGAATTTGAGCACTGTGGATATCTTTAGCTGTATATAATGTTACATACCTTGTGTTGCCATCAGGATGTCCGCAGACATAGCACCGCAGGTGCAGATTATTAAGAGTATAGCGCCCATTCGAAGCATCTTCCTGTAAAGCATATTTTAAATATAGGTGTGTGAATTATATAAGCTTTAACCGTACAGCTATTTGAAGCCAGTTGACGAGACGCCGGACCAGTATTCAGCAGACTGCCAGCGATTCACTTGCATTTAAAAATTTTTATACTTATATGACCAGTTTCATGCGTATACCACTTTTGTCACTTAATGTTGCGATTACTACACGACTCAAAATTTTAATGTACTTATAATTGACGTGCTTATGCTAAGAGGAATTTTTAATACACGCACAATGAATAAGAAGCCAAATAGCAATAAACTGGAATTATACGGAAGTTCAGCAAATTTGCTTTATGTACTTATGTTACTTCATAAAAGGTTGATCTGCATGTAGCTTCCGAAAATAATACAGCAAATAAATTCTGAAACAAACCTCGGCAGAGCGTAAAGAATCTTTGATGCTAATGTGTAGGCTACCGTTACTAATATGTTAAATCTCATTATAATTGTATGAACTGGAAATAATAATGTATGACGCAATCGATCTTTCAAAGCGTTTTTTTAAATTCAAAATAATATTCGATACCTATTGCTTTATAGATTATAAATAAAATATAAGTATCATATTATTCGCTAAGAAAAACATAATGGTAGTACATTACTTAAAAAATGTTTGAATTAGATTCAATTCCGAAGGCCAAAGTTTAACTTCACTTAAAGTTTAAAGTAGGCTCTATCGTTTATACTACACCTAAAAACTATATTTATATAGTGTTGTTAACTTTATATCGAACTGCAATATTGCCTAATATATCAAGTATATCCAGCCGACTCTTTCGCGCACCGACCTAGTAGAAAGTTTTAATTTTCGATACAGCAGTAATTGTTTCAGATAAACAGTGGAATTACATGGAAACCAGTGGAAACTAAATTATATTTTCCAAGTACACAAAAAAAATATATATATACCTATAATTTTGATAAAATATTGATGAATTGTTGTTGTTTATAGTCTAGGATAGGTTGATAAAACATTAATAAATTTTTTATTAACTGCAGCATATGTTCAAAAGTTTGGTCTGTTTATGCAAGTAATATTAAAATATGCTTCTCTTGATCAGATATATTATAGTGGGTTGAATTAACAATTTTTTTGTTATTCGCTTAAATTATTATAAAGCTGGAGTCTATGTCCATATATGAATATGCATACATATATGAATGTGGGCGGGCTTTAGTTATATCTTATATATACAGTATCTTTTATTAGCACGCGCCTGTGCGTTTACAATTCCCTACTGGTTATAAAGTACCTCGCATGGATTGACGGTACCCGGGTATTAAAGAAGAAGCAAGTCTCTACTGCAACAAAGAAGACAAAAACATACATAGCGTACACATACTCTTAGCATATACCTTTTTTAATTTTGCTGTCGTTTTAATACAACAATTTTATTATTAATTATTATTACTGTTTATTGACAAATGCTGTAATTAAACTGCTTGTCATAGTGAATTATTGAAGTTATCGCCTGATAATATTAGCTGAAATATTATTTTAGTCAAATTATAATATGGGGAAAAATGTACTATAATAAATTAATATCTTAAAGTTTTACATAACCCCAATTCAATATGCTTATATAGAAGATTTTTCAAATCTTCGATTATTGTCGTCTAGTTTCAGTAAACATTGAACAACGCTGATTTAGTTCTACTGCCGAATCATCAACAAAATTGATGTGAAGAAACTTATAATTTTTGTTAGTTGGTGGTAACACAGTGCTGAATCTAATTGTTTGCAAGCTATTTTAAAAACAATTAAGTTTTGCATGTTCATAAGATTGCTGTAATTACCCGTAAGCACGGACTGTACTGTTGGTTAACAGTTTCGGCACCAACGTCATGACGGCATGACGTCATTTAAAAGGATCCATTATATTGTTGTCTAAATTCCAGAAAATGGTTTGATTTAGTTGTATTCCCACAGAAAAGCGAACAAAATGGTTTGGCGGATGCACAAAAACCGGAAATTTAGTTATGCTAAACCAGTTATGCACATATGTATCTTCTTGTTAGAAGAATAACAAAAAAACTCGTTTCTAACAAAGAACACTTCCGAGCCGTTTCTAAGTTCCTGAAGGAAAATCAACTACAAGGCTAAAAGGAATTGTAAGTAGTACCACTAAGCAAGAACTACATAGAGAAGTCAAACAGTACAAAAAAATACTACCACAAAAACGGCTAAGCCTGGAACCCCAGAGCACCCGAACGAAATATCTAGAATCCCGGAGGGCGTTGGGCTGTTTCGATTTCGAAGCATTCGTTCGAATCCGAGCACAACAAGAATTAACTTTTCAGTGGCAGATCGACCGTGAAACGATGAGCAGGGGTGCGTTTCATTGCGTTGTGCTCTCCTTTCTGTGTATGTGTGTATATGTGTACAAGCGCTCGCACGTTTGTTTGCGTGTGCAAATTTTTGCATGCAGAGTCTTTTTCATAGATTTAGGACGGCCACAGCCAGTGCGCCGCGCGGCGGCTCACTTGCTAATGACATCACAGCAATACTTAGCGGCTAGCGCTTGCATTGGGGGACAAATAATTTAAGTTATCTAACTATAATTACTACCTATTTTAATTTAAGTTTTTTTTCTGACAATATATTTCCCAAAAGAAATTTTTGACCGACCAGAAATTATTATTGCATTCCATATTGTATTAAAACATTTTTATTTGTTTCAGTACATTTGCAACATTATAAAATTATAATAATTAAAAACTAATTGTATAATTATTTAATTAATTGTAAACTAGAAAATAATAGAATTATGGTAAATATATGACATTATTTTTCAACTATGAAAAGAATGTACTCACATATGTACATACATACTTAGTATGCATGTAACAATACACGCGAAATCGTCTTCTGTTGAGGTAGATAACTTAAATGGCCTGTCATCGATTAATCATCAACAGCACCCCCTTGACTGTTGATGAAACGTTGATGAATTACTGATGAAAGGTACTGCAGGGCATATACACACATACATAGAAACGAGAGCACAGCGCAAACAAGCGCACCCCTGCCCATCGTTCCACGGTCGATCTGCCACTGAAAAGTTAATTCCTGTGCTCGAACTCGAACGAATGCTTCGAACTTGAAACAGCCGAACGCATTCTGGGGTTCTAGACATTTCGTTCGGGTGCTCTGGGGTTTTTTGTACTGTTTGACTTCTCTATGTATTTCCTGCTTAATGGTACTACCATTAAAGGAATCGAACCCGATGCACACAAGCGCCTCTCAAACAAACACCGCTCAAAAGAGTCATAATCGTTTTAAACCACACCAATCCCACAGAAAATTTTCCAAGGATTCCGAATCCGAAACTAAAATTATAATGTTAAATTTTTGCTAAGGAATTGTATATTTGTTGATTTTCAGGTGATATTACAAAAAAAAAAAAAAATGTATTGTCAGCATGGTTTTGACTTTAAACCATATATGGGCACGCCTTGGCTCCCAGAGCTCGGCCAGCTCATTTCGTTATGATTTGCAATATTACACAGCTAATCGGCAGAGGCCTCAGTTCACATCTAAACAAAAACAACACAATTTTTTTAATCCTGCAACAGCTGTTTAGCTAGCTGGAGAAGTTTTTTTTTGGCGAGACAAAAAATATGAAAACTTGCAAGTCATTTGTTCTGCTGCGGCGCTGGTTGTTGTTGTTAAAATTCAATTATTTTCACCTTTTCTGCCTAAAGTAGTTTATAACTTCTGAAGCTGTCGGCGCCTACACCATGCCTATACTTTGCGTCTATCATTCCTAAATCATCATGTCTGCTTTATGCTGCGACTCTGGAAATATAAAGATGCAAAGATATTAAAAAAATTTGTTTTTTAGTTGTTGCTTTATAAAAAAACAATTCGACTATTTTTAACATAAAATAAACTTATGTCAACGAAATTTTTAATATCATATAACCATTCCTGGACTATAAATACTTGATTCCATTTATTTTCCAGATTTCACATGCCCCAGAGATAGAACAAATAAAAAAACACAAAAGATTCAAAGTATTAACGCTACAAAGCAGTTGCGCGCTATTGCTAGCCTTGAACCGCATGCATGAATTTTTGTGCCTTTTTTACCCTGAGTTGGTTCAGTGTGCATCCTTACATTTCGAAAGTCCCAGCTCAAAGCAGACTATTAAAAGTGATTCTGATTCCAGAAAGATAGACGTAAAGGCATCGTGTAGATAGCAGCTTCAGAAGTTATAAAAGTATAAAGAAGTTATGGTTGTAGATTCGTAAGCCTTGGGAAATTTTCTGTTGGATAGGTGTGGTTAAAAACAATTGTGCGACTACTAATGACATTTTTTTTAATTTTTGGAACGGGGTTTGTTCGAAAGCTGCCACTGTGCGTCGCACCCCGATACTACAAACGAATCAAGAAATTTATATTATAAAATATATATATTAATTTGTATATTAATTTATGTTAAACAACAACAAACCAACCCTGCAGTACCAGTCATCAGTAATTCATCAACAGTCAAGGCGGTGTTGTTGATGATTCATCGATGAATGGCCATACAAACTGTTGATGAATTTAACATGGGCATGTCCTAGGCTGACATCAACATAAATTCATCAACAATTCATCGATGATTCATCAACAAATTCATCATCAATTCATTGATAATTCATCATAAATTCATCGATGTTTCATAAAAAACATTCATCAACGGTAGGGTCATGGTACTGCCGACGACTGCCGTCTAGACTATCGTGGGCAGAGCGTCGTAGTAGAAGTCGCAGTCGGCAGGGGCTCGACCCGGTAGAAGTCGCAGTCGGCGCGTTGATGACAGTGGCCTATTGATGACATGCGGTACTGCAGGAAATACCTTCTTTTCTTACATTCACATAAACATTTACATTTACACTTCAAGTTTTACATTCAAAGTTATGCATTTTCCTCTACAATTTAAAATTGTTTCTATGGCAACTAAAAAAAAGAATATATAAACAGAAGTGGAAACGTCTCAAATTAGATGAAATAATATTGGTAAACAGCGAAGATAGAACTTTTTTTTATGAAATTATGTTAAAAAGAAAGGAAGCTAATTTCGGCACGCCGAAGTTTATATACCAGATAGAATTTCTATGACTAAGAATCTATACAATATAAATTATATATATTTAGGTAAAAAACAATGAAGTAATACCTGCTTTTATTTCATTCACCTATACATATTATATTTGCAGTTTTACATTTACAGATTTGCATTTTTCCTCTACAACAAACGATCGTTTGTATGGCACCTATATGATATTATCGTCCGATTTTCAAGGCTAATATAAAATGGCTATACCTCAAATTTTATAAAAATCTGTTGAAAACTAAAATA